TTATTTTTTATTTTTTTTTATTTTATTATTTTTGTGCATGTACCGTCAAATCAGATCTGACAGGTACAGGATGAAATTGTCCTTCCTTCTCCGGCAGAGCATCTGATGGATTTGAACCGTGTACCTCTGGGATTGCAGTACAGCTTCTTGCCACTAGGCCACCAGAGCCCCCCTAGTATTTGTCCTTTTGACTGAAATATTTCACTCAGCATAAATGTCCTCCAGGGTCACCCATTTGTATAATATTTCATGAGTTTTTTGTTTTTCAATGCAGCATAGTATTCCATTATGTGAATATACCACAGCTTCTGGATCCATTCGTTTGTTGATGGGCACTTAGGTTGTTTCCAACTCTTTGCTATTGTGAACAAGGCCGTGATAATCATGGGTGTGCATATTCCTCCATTTTTAAGAGAAAGAATTAAGATCCAAAGAGAAAGTGCTGGGCCATAGTCTACTAACCAGAGACTGGCGTGGCTGGGATTTGAACCCAGGGCCCTCTGACTCCAGACCTGTGATCTTCACCATGAGACCCTTCTCCCTCAAGGAGATGACAAACCTCTATTTGGAGGGGAGGCGCAGAAAGTGAGCACAGACTTCAAGATCCTTTGTGTCAAGTTGTTTTGAATGTTTGGCCTCAAATATTAACACAGCGGGTCAAATGTGTGAGGCTGTGTGGCCTCAGGCAGTCCCCTCAGTCTCGCTGGGACCCAGTCCCTCACTGTCCCCTGGGTCTGCGGCGTGGCTGGCCCTGTCTCTCACAGCCCTTTGGCCCTGCCAGGGACAAGGCCCAGGAGCTGTCCGACTGGATCCACCAGCTGGAGTCGGAGAAGTTCGATCTGATGGAGAAGATGAAGCAGCAGAAATACGAGGTAAGACCCAGCTCCCAGGGTGGAGGAGGCCCGGGCTGGGCAGGCAGGACCAGGCAGGGCGCGAGGCGCATCCCAGCATCTCCCTCCCGCCTCCCTGCAGATCAACGTGCTGTATAATCGCATCAGCCACGCGCAGAAGTTGTAAGTGAGGGCGAGTGGGGGCCCCTGCGCAGCACAGCTTCCTTCTGACTCCCCTCCTGTCCTCCTCCCTGTCTGTCCCTTCCTTCCCCCCTTCCGTCTCTTCTCGTGTCTCCCTCCCTGTAATGACTTCGTCTTCTATCTCACTCCCTCTGTCCTTATCTGTTCCTCTGAGAATCTCTTCAGAATCTGCCTCGGGTCTCTCCAATTTCTGCACTTCCTTCTGCAGCCCCCTGATTGAATCTGTTTCCTCCTCTCTCTTCCTGCTCTGCTCTCTTCTCTCTGGCCTCCCAGTCGCTTTCTGTCTTGGCTCTGATCTCTCTCTGAGTACTTGCATCTGGTGGGCTGGT